AACTAACGGTGTTAGTTTTAAAATTGATGGAGACTAAAATTCTCAACTTTTTGAATACTTAAAAGACTAAAACTGATAGGTGTATATTGAAAGGACTATCATGAACCTACTCCCAAAGATAAGGGACCGTTTTTGTCATTTTCTCCCCTCATTTCAATTATAGAGTTAAATAATTGGGGTATTATCACTTTTAGTCCGCGCAAGAAATTATTTATATTTGGTAGCCGAAAAAGTATATAAAATATGTATAATTTTTGTATATAATATACCAAATGTATATATACAAAAAATATATAAATTTTATATATTGTTTCGGCTATCGTTTTTTACAGCAGCTACATAATGTCATTGCTCAATAATCTATACATTAAAAGTGCTCAAAAAATCTTTTTCTTAAACCCTCTAAAACGTTGTCTTTTAGATAAGTTGAAGCATTTCCAAATTCCAAATCAGTAATAAATTAGCCCACTAGGTTGCCAAGTTAAAGACATTAAATTTGTTTTACGTCTAATCAAGCAAGAAAAGTAGTTTCCACAACGCGTATTTCCTCTTTGATCAAAATATGTACCTTTCTTTTTCCTTTCCAAAGGAAATATAGACTTTGTTCCAAACTTCCAATTCAAGGTTTTTATAATTTTGTAGCGAAGACCCATTTGGTCCACTATCACAATAACTTTAATTCATATCTTGTACTGTCATAAAAAAATATATTTAAATATGCATTAATTATTAATTAGAATACAATAATTTAATATGACTAGAATTTAGAATTTGTAAACTTCAAATCATGGCTCGGCCAAAGATGAATTCATGCAATTAGGGTTAAACCTAAACTTGAGTATAAGTATTAAGGTTGGTTATTTGGTGATGGGTAGGGGTGTTCATGGTTCAACTTGGATTGATTTTTTCCGTAAAACACAAGTAAGTCGATTTTTCAAATATTTGAATCAAACCAAACCAATTAAATTGGTTTTTTATCGATTATGTTTATGTCGGTTATCAATTTCTTCCCAGTTATTTACTGATTTTTTAAAAATATGGGACATACACTACCAAACACATATTTCGGCGACTACATTTCCAACGTAACACTATCAAACCAATTGTTTCTTGAGAAATCTATCATTTATCAAGATATAATGATGATAATTGAATTAAATAGTGATAAATAATTTAAGGACTCAAGTAAAAATAGATTATTTTTAACATAAAATAGATTATTGTACTTAGCAAAAGAAAACTATCAATCAAACTAGAATGTAAATGTAAATAACTAGATTATTATAATAGCAAAGAACTAGAATAAAAGTGCAAATAATTAACATGCACCATAAAATTTTAGTATATGTACTTACAAAGACTGATCATATATGCCTCAAGCTATAATTTCATAGTATATTACATGAACCTCCTTTGATATAAAGATAACTATCTACGGTGAGACGTTTCTATAGCAATATTTATATATAATAGTCATTCACTATAAAAATCGAGTTATTCTCAGAACTGAATATTATATTATATTATAATATATGTTTTATATAACAACACTTCACTATAGCAATCAAAAAATTTCGAAACAAATGTGGTTGTTATAAAAAGGTTTGACTGTAGATCTCTTTAAGCAAAGTTTTTTTATTTTAATTTACAATCTTTATTTGTGTTATGTGTATTTTTCATTTATACTTTTGAAAGAAAAATCTATTTAGAAAAAAATATGGAATTAACATACACTTCTCTTGGGCCCAACTTATATAATGAAATTTCCTTTTTACTCTGTTCCAAAAAGAATTATATCTTTGAAATAGCTTAATTTTAAATTTCCTATTTAACTTAACGAGATGGTTTATAGCTACAACTTGTTTTACATCACATGTTTCAAAATTCTTTCATTCTTATTATTAACTTCATACTTATCAAACAACAACAACAACAACATCACCCTAGTATAATCTCACTAGTGCGGTCTGGGGAGGGTAGTGTGTACGCAGACCTTACCCCTACCCTGGGGTAGAGAGGCTGTTTCCGATAGACCCTCGGCTCCCTCCATCCAAGAACTCTCCACCTTGCTCTTGGGGTGACTCGAACTCACAACCTCTTGGTTGGAAGTGGAAGGTGCTCACCACTAGAGCAAACCACTCTTGTCAAATACCATCATATAAATTAGAAGGAGAGATGGAGGGTGTAATACACAAACTTTATGGGGTCGTTTAGTTACCGAAAATAAGATACTAATTTTGATAATAAAATTTTGAGATTATATATGGTATGTGAAAATAGCACGGGCTAGCCAGTTTTCGGACGGATAATCGAAAAATAGCGAGTGTTTGTAAAGTTATTAAAAATAGCACTGTTTTGTTGAAACACAGAAAGTTCCAACATAATATGCATAATTATGAAGCTCTTGCGTATAAACTTCCAGCATATTATGTTGGAACTACAGCACTCGGAAAGTTCGAGCATAATATGTGGGATTATGGAGCTCATGCATATAAACTTCCAGCATATTATGTTGGAACTCCAGCACATTATGCTGGAAGCTCATATGTAAAAATATTCGAACTCCATCATATTATGCTGGAATATTTTCGGATTTTTAAAGGTGTTTTTGTTCAAATTTTATATTTACATGAAAAAGTGATTAATTTCATTTACTTTTGAAACTGTGACTATTTTTCAATTACCAGTTGTAAATTTGACTATTTTTTTATTTCCCCCTATTGATATAGCTAAAACCGATATAAATCTTGTAGCAAAATCTTGATATCAATCTCGATCACATATTGGATAGTGGATTAAAATTCTAGGATTATTAATCTCGAAATTATAATTTCAAAATAACCTTGATCGGAACATATAGTTGCAAAATAACCTTTTTCGGAACATTTAATTTAACGAGGTTGAGAGATGGAGAGTGTAATACACAAACTTTAAGGGGTCATTCAGTTACCGAGAATAAAATACTAATTTCGATATAAAATTTGTGATTATATTTGTCCAATATTTGGCTATTGTCTTGGTACAGCTAAAACCAATATAAATTTTGTAGCAAAATCTTGATATAAATATGGATCACATATTGGATAGTGGGTTAAAATTACAGGATTATTAATCTCGAAATTATAATCCCTCAGAACTAAATGATATCTTAAAGACAAACTTGATTGCCTCCGGACATATAAGCAACTGTTATTGCAAATTTGTGACTCTGCTTTGACTATTACAAACTTTGTTTTGCCGTTGGATTAAGGTTAAACTAGTAATCAGCTTCTGCACATAATGTCGTCTTGCCTTAAAAGATTAGCTTCCATTCGTTCCCTTTCCTCTATAACTGGACTGGTTCGTAGCAAATCTCACCCAAGGTTGGTTGAAAATTTGTTAGCCCGAAGACTTGCATCAGCAACTACTTCTTCCGATTGTTTCTCTGTAGGCGAAAGAGCTTCAAAGCATTACTCTACTGGGCCGGGTAAGTTTGCTGGGTGTCATCTGTGAATTATTTTGTCTTGAGCATTTTAAGCAACTCAGGTGTTTGTGAAAATGCCACTTAGACCGCATTACTTGTTTTACAGTGGAGTCTATTCTTTTTCACGAGTTGGGAAATAAATAAATTAAGAATTAAGTTCAATAAATATTTAAGCTCTTATTTATACTTTATCCAGGGGCGGCTCAAGCGCACGTGGGGTCTAAGGCCAAAGTTTAATATTAGGCCTAAGTATTTATAAGAACGTTATAATATATATTTTTATTTAAAATCTATTTTTCTAACTTTTTGAGATGAAAAGTTGTTAATAATTTTTTTTATAATCGATTTTTTCTAATAATTCATTTTCAATTGATAATATAGCCAAGATATTTAATCTTTCTTGAGACATTGTTGACATTAGGTAAGATTTTATCGATTTTAATTTTGAGTGACTGTTATGTTTTAAGGAACATTCAAGGTTAAGACAATATTTTTTTAAATTCTTGGCATCTAATGATCTCAATTTTTTACCACTAAATAGGAAACCAAAGATATTTTCATATACTTCAAACTGTTCAAATCTATTTTGAAGTGAAAAAATGGCTTATATGTATAAGAAGTAATCAACTCTAAAAGATTCTTCAAGAGACTGTGTGATTTCAGTATTAACATTCTCATCAAATTGTTTCTTTGTATGTATTACACGTTTATTACGAAATTCAGGGTTCTATATTCATCTCAAATGCAATTTCCTTAGCTGAAATCATAGCATTTGTAAATCCTTCTTCTCTATATTTTTTAGAAAAAGAAATTAAACCTCTTAGTTGATCTATGGCAACATCAATATGCATGTCTTTTGATTGTAAATTTTTGCTAACTAAATTAATAGCAAATAATACATCATACCAAATAGTCATGCCCAATAAAAACTCAAAATTTTCAAGCTCATATGTTGCTAAACAACTTTCTTCACTTTTTGTTTTTGGATCCTCACTAACTTCTACTAATTTTATTAAAGCATCTCTTATTTGTGGAGCCCGAAATCTTATTGCTTTAATACTTTCAATACGACTTTCCCAACATGGTTTTACTATTTTTAAGTAAGTCAAATTTTTACTTTATTAATATATCTAAAAGGTTTTCTTTCCTTTTATATGAAAAGTACAAAAGTACTATATATATATATATATATTTTTTTTTTTTTAAAAAAAATAAAAATAAAAATAAAAAATAAAATAAAATTATAAACCTATAAAATATATATTATTCCTAAAAAATGGGCCCCCCCAAAATTGGGGGCCTAAGGCACTTGCCTTACCCCATACACTGCTAGAGCCGGCCTTGACTCTATCCCTTCCATTTTGTGTGGCATATTTTGATTGGACACAAGGTTTTATAAAAAGACAGACTTTTGATACTTATAGTATAAACAAACCATAAATATTATTTCCGAATAATGAAAAATGTTATGTTTTTGGGGACAGACTAAAAGATAAAATGTGCCACATAAATTGGGAAGGAGGGGGTATCACTTACTCCAATAGATACATAGATTTTTTAAGATGAAACATTACATATCAAAGACACCTATAGTGTTGGTTGTGGAAAATTTAGATGATAAATCAGATGTTGACACTGCTTTTTGTTCTGTTTCCTTTGCAGCGTGAAAGATACGTTGTGTTCTGTGTTTGCTTTGGTGGTTTATCACTTAAGGTTATTTTGCTTTCAAGATGACTATTTCTAGGTTCCATCAGGTACCACAGTGCACCTCGAATGTGCTTTGAATTCAAGACTTCAGAATGATGGTGAGGTTGATCATCGAGATTACCTCAGATGGGGCAATGGCGGTGGGACTTTTCACAAGTCGGCTAGCATTGATCCCTCGGCTTTTGTGGAAATTGGTGCTGTAGTACATTCAGAATGTGCAGTGGGTGCAGAGTGTCGCATTGGCTGCGGAGCAATCATTGGACCTACAGTCACTATAGGCCAATCAACGAAAATAGGGTAAACATCTTGTCTATGTTGAAGACAATTCTTTGGCCAGAGTAGTCAAAAACGAAAAGCGCTAAAAAGCTCTAAATTCTATTGGAGCTTTAAGTACAAATAAACGTGTATTTCAGTGAAGAAAAGCGCCAATGAAGAAAAAATAAGAAAAATAATTACAGTGCAAGAAGATATAAGTATAACCACAACGAATAGTTATTTGGACAAAAGAATGGAAAAACTATAATTAAGCTATATATATATGTTGTAGTGCCCTTAAAGACAAAATCCATCGGTGGAGGTTCACAGGCCTAGCACCTTGAGGCATACTCAAAGCGCAAATTAAGTAATCAAACTTCAAGGTTGATGTACACTTTAAGAGCCTTTAACAACACTGTATTTGGCCTCATTTTGATGGGATATCTCTAGTAGGTAGCTAGAAGACTGCGTTGTAAATATTGAGTTGAAATAGGCTCAGCCTAATAAATAGAGCTGAGGTATAGTTAAAAAGATAGTTGTTATTTGGTTTCAGTTGGCAAAATAATATCGTTCTTCCGAGCAAAATCTCGCCAGCCTTTCTTTCATGATTATATTAAAAAATTATCAATTATCTATGCTTAAGCCTTTTCTCGATTAGTTAGGATGTCTTAGTTCTGTGCTGGAGTCTCCTAAAGAAAGAAATCCAACTGTTTAGAATTGAAAAAAAGGCGGATGGGATACAGTAGAGGGGGAATAAAAATTAGATAAAAAAGCTATGGAAAAGCAAGATGATCCATTTACTTTCTTAGCTGTAGGCAGTGTCTCAAATGCATCTGTTTTTGTGGCCTGAATTCTATTTTGCACCGTTTCTTACAAGTGACTTTTGGTCTATGAATTATGCACAAATTATCTTCAGCTACAATGTTGCATTGGCTAATTGCATGGTTGGTGACTTTTGTGTTATCCACAGCGGAGTCTGCATTGGTCAAGATGGTAAGGCTGAATCTAATGTGGAATTTTCTTTTTCAGTTCATTATTAAAAAGAAAACCAAGACTATTCTCTTTTCTGGTACATATTTCGGTCTACCTGTCGCTGACCTGCTTTTAATTTACATATTACTGCTAGTGTTAGATTCTAAATAAAACGTTCTTTTCTTGTTACAGGTTTTGGATTTTTCGTAGATGAGCAAGGAAATATGGTGAAAAAGCCTCAAGTTAGTCAAATACTACTATTTATCTAAGAGATAAAATTGTTACTTGTGATCCTTGAAATCATGTCTTTTACATGAACCAAAATGAGTTTTTATTTTGGCCAATTCAGGACCCCTAAAGTCTTTAGGGCCTTAAATGCAAGTGACCAAGAGTAAATAAGCAAAGAAAAAGTAAGTGCGGAGAGCTACCAAGTGAGCTCCTCAGTGAAGTGAGCTAGAATTTGAGTAATTCTAGTAATCGTTAGAGTCCTATAGTTAAGTCTGTTGATCATGCTTGTGTGTAGTGAAAAGGTGTGCAATAGATATTTAATATTAGAATTTGGACAAAACCAATTTGATTATTCTTCGTTGTTATTTTATTTGGTGTTACATTTTAGAACGATATTTGACACACAAAGTGTCAATGTTTGTGCTCGATGTTAAACTTGTTAGTTTCTTAGCCCGTCACTTCACCTCTGCTCAACATTTATATATTCATATTACTTGTATGATGTCCTTTCTTATTTTGGTATTTTGGTCCTTTAAAAATTAGAAGCTGACATGAGGGATTTCTGATGTAGATATAATACCATGCTATATGGGGCTTGATTTGTTGATCAGAAAAAAAATGTCCTTGAGTTTGGTCCATGATCATTTGTGTTAATGGCTCATTGTTCGCGCTGAAGCTCAGTAAGCACTTGAGTATAACTTTAAACTCAAGCTTGGCCGTTCTCTGAATGAATCAGGGCTGACCGTACTTGAGCTAAAAATTGTTAGTCCTTGATTTGTTTTTCATTGATTGATACCAGATCAACTACCTATCAAAAATTTTAAAATTAAAGAAAGGTTGAAAGCAGATCAACTATATAAATTTTTCCTGGATTCTTGTTCATATACTTGATGTCTTATGAGCTACGACTCTTTGTAATCTTCCGAGACTATTAAATTTTTTCTTTTATCTCATCTGCAGAAGCTGAATGTGAGAATAGAAAACCATGTAGAAATAGGTGCAAATACGTGTATCGATAGGGGCAGGTGAAATAAATGCTCTTTTTTAATTCTTCATTGTGGTTGTCTCAAGTCTTTCCAAATTAAATCCCCTGCCCTAATGTTTCTGAGCTTAAACATATATGCCTCATCATTCGGGGGCTATGCAGTTGGAGGGATACAGTAGTTGGAGAACATACAAAGATAGATAATTTAGTTCAGGTACTTTTCTACTTCTAAATTTTGGAGAAAATCTTGGTCCAAGACGGTTCTTATGATCTGTAATACAGATAGGCCACAATGTAGTGATTGGGAGAAGCTGCATCATATGTGGACAAGTCGGGGTTGCGGGTTCAGTGACGTATGTTATCCTTCTTATCCCACTTTGATAAATAATTGAAGTAAAAAAAACATCTATTTAGATTTGATCACTAATTTATTTTACTTTCTAGTTCAGTATACTTTTAGCTTTCAAGATTATATATTTGTTCTTTTCTTGGATTAATCTACATAATTTTCCTTTTGTTTTCCTAGTATAGGTGACTATGTAACTTTCGGAGGAAGAGTCGGGATCCGTGATCATGTAAACATTGCCTCAAAGGTATAATTTTTTATTTAACTGGCGATTTGTTCCTTGACTAGCACCATTTGGATTCTATGTGAAACGACTACTCCATACAATAAATGTAATTTATGTTTTGTAGATTTCTCACATTATTGGATATTATATTGCATGGAACATATGCAGATGCTAGAACACTTAACTTCCAAGCAAGCAGAGATTGTGTGTTATCACTTTATGCATCATAAGTTCTATATGGCACTGTTTAGCTTGACATTATCATGTTTATTCACTGCCTAGTCTTGATCTTAATGGACATGGTAAGAATACAGAAATGTCAAGAATGAGAGGGTTCTCATAATAAAAAAATAAAGCTGCACTTTGTGTACCCGTTCTCTTGCTTCAAGTTTGTCCACCTTTTCCCTATAGGCCTTGAGCTAACTGATATGATAGGATAAAAAACGAGATATTGTTGGAATAAAGCACAGGTGTAGAATTCTTTAGCCACACAACTGCTTATTTTAGTTTGCTTGACAATGCTGCTTATTATCCTCCAACTTCCTCCTAACATAAGTCAGATTCAGAATGTTATGGCACATATTTAAAAGAGAATCAGAATGCTATTACATTTTATGATGGCTATGGAATCCTTGTAGCATGTTCTCTGCTCATAAAGTCAATAGATCTCTATGTTTCTACTACCAATACCATCATACTTACTTCCTGTTAACCGTTTCGTGTCCTAGTTTGACGTGCCCCCCACTTGGGATAAAAGGATACTTTTCAATAGGTTTAAGATGTAGGAGTTTTGAGGGTTAAAAAGAGAAATAGGAATAAAAAGTGGGTTCCATATAGCTTTTGAAGTACTATAATATTAAAAAAAAATGTAGTGGAAAAGTTCCGTTAACGGAAAGCAGATACCCTTTTGGGAGAAACCAAAAAGTAAAGCAAAACAATCTCTTTGTAGAGAAGGGAGTATCCTATTGGCCTATTCTATTAAAAGTGTATTACTTAATTATATTCTAAAGCTTTTCTAAGACGTCGAGGAATGCTGTGAGCCATAAAGTGCTTCAACTTAATATGAATCGGGATGTTAAATTTCTCCGTGCATACTGCCTGCTCCTTCTGTTGATTGTGCACACCCTATGTGGTTATTGTTCTATTGATCAGACTGTTACCAAGTAATAGCATTTGATGCTACAGGTCAGGTTAGCAGCTAATAGCTGCGTCACCAAGGATATTAGTGAGCCTGGAGATTATGGTGGCTTTCCTGCTGTAAGGACTCTACCGTTCGGTTCATGGTGTTATCTAGTCTCTTCCAAAGAAGTCTGACCTTGTTTTTACAATTGTTTGATAATACTTGTGGCTAAATGCAGATTCCTATACGTGATTGGCGAAGACAAATTGCTATGCATCGTCAATCCTTGAAGTGAGTATTCTGCTTGAATGCCAATCGTAAACTCAAAATTTTGAACAATTTATTCATGACTATGCATGCCATTTGATGTGCACCCAGTGAACCATCCCTGGGACTATTATTTCCATATCACTTGTATTCTTTTGCTCCTATGTATGTTGAGCATGTGTTCTTTGGATAGCTTAAAAATGTCTCTGTACATGAAATTGTTGTTCCTCTTACCTTTTAAAACATTGCATGCTCCTTCGAAAGCAAAATCATGTTTAAAAAACATCTATTTGGCCTGTCTCGATGGTTAACTTGATATCTTTAAATTACCCCCGGTGCTTCACTCCCAGTGTTAAATAACTGCAGTTTTGGATTTGTCTATATCTTCTGACGCTAAGTTGCTCCGACATGGCAGTTTAGGTGCCGCACCCGTGTCGACACGACACTAGTATGGGTGTGGGTATGGGATCCGTACCGGATCCGGTCAAACAATCTTGGGTACTTTGACCACAACGGACGAAAAAATTCGAGACAAGATACAATTTGATTCCCGAAATCAGAACCAAAAGCGTAAATTTGAAGAAAATAACATAACTTATTTAGGAAATCAATCCTTTACTTGTTTACAACTTGAGAATAAAAAAGAAATCCACACTTTACAAGCTAACGTAAGTATTCCATAAAATTTCTCATAATTTAGAGATATTTTTTAATTTTTATTTTATTTTGAATTATTTTTAGCCGGATCCCCGCACCCGGATCCGTACTAGGATCTGTATCCCCGAATCTTAGAATTTACATTTCAAAGGATCCGACCTCTAAATCCGCACCCGTGTCGGACACCCGCACCCGTGTCCGAGCGAATATTCTGAATGTCCGTTAGCTATTGTTTAGTATATTGCTGAGATTATCAAAGGGATGAACTAGAAAATCGACACAAATACAGTTCGAGCTTTCTAGTTAAGCCTTTGCTGCGTTCTTCTCCATCGAGTTTTTGAAGATTTCGACCTCCACAGTGGTTTACATGCCAATTCTAAAGTACATTTTCCACTGCCATTTGTCATACTTTGTTAAAGAAACATATATATCAGAAATAATGCAGTTCAATTAGTAAAATACAATCCTAAAAATGAAAAAATCAATAAGAATAAGATAACAAATGGAAAAGATTTGAAATGAATGCTCCCCTTCCTAAATCAGCTAAAATAAACTGGACATCTCTTATCCATATAAGCAGGCAATATCATGCCATCTTGTCCTACTCCAACAGGACAATTAGCATGCATCCTGTGGCGTTTACTGTTCCACGACGAAATCTTAAATCTTATAGTTGATGTTAATTCAAGACGAAAAATCACTGGCCCTCTCGTTCGATCATTCTGCATTTGCTTCCACTGCGACCCTGTCACTGTCAATGATGAACCACTAAGCATACTAGCAAAAATGGTACTATTCTTAGGCTGTTGATAGAATGGTGTCAACACTTGGTACCCTCCAATACTTTGTTCTTGATAATACACTGTCACTTGACTTGCATCATAGTAAACCCCAATACCTTGATTAGAATTTCTTGCTGTGACTTTGAAGTTTATTTGTGCATTTTCAGGTCCACCAATTCCTTGGCCTAAAGCTGGAACAGAGAAGTCATTGAGGAAAATTCGTGGCCGATGAGGGCGAAGACTTAGCCATAAAATGAATGTGATGAGTCCAACAATAGCAAGAAGGCCTAAGAATATAGAACATACTAGTTTTGAGACTCTTGTGGTTAAACTTTCTTTCACCCTGTGGGCATAGTAGCTAGCACTATGGTGTCGCCTTATAGGGCGATCTTCATCGCGGCCATAAACAGGTAATTCAGGCCTAGACTGCATTGTTTTTCAAGAGAATGGAACTGAGGTTGATCATGAACAGTTTTACAGTACATATTATATATTCAAATTTAAACTCTGAAAAATTGGTGGATTGAGCATAAAGTAATGTCTAAAGAGATGTTGAGATCTTTTTAGGAAAGAAAAGAATCAAGAAGAACTAGTTATGTAATCTTGGTATATAATACTATATCCTTGAAAAGTACTGTTATGGATTCTTGAACTCAGGGGAAAGTATACTTTGTTCCGTCCACAATTTTATTCCTTCTCAACTCTTTAATTCTTTCAAAATTATTGAACACTATGACTTATCGGCTTGACGTTTCCTTTTTTTTCTTTTTAAGTATTTTATATAACCTTCTATATTATCAGGTTAACTTGAATTACAACAAAAGAAAGCTCGTGAAATTATAAACCTGATTGATTTTAGATTATGATATTCTAAAACCACTATGCTCATCTCAGGCTTCAGGGTGCAGTTAATTCCTTGGTCGTCAATTGACAATAAGATATTTGGGGGCTTTGTCGCACTAATTCGTTTTTTTCCTTAATCAATGGTAACAAACATCTATTGAATATTTGAGTAAATTTCAAATAATAATTCACTTAAAATTGTTATATTATTGTTACATATTTCGTTAAATGGGATTATGCTACTCTGATGGAAAATCAAATTATAATATGATCAAAAACTCACCGACATGACCTTAAGTTTTATTCTCTCTGTCCTACTTTATGTGGCGGTATTTGTCTTGGCACAAAATTTTAAAAAATAAAGGTCTTTGAAACTTGTGATCTAAAATAAACCATTGATATTTGTATGACTATAAATTATTGAGAAAATGACCCTCTATAGTCCCTCAAAATTTTAATAGCACATGTTTTTCCCATTAACATGAAATGACCCTCTGGCCCAAACATATTACATCTAATAGCCATAAGTGTCTATTTTGTATATTTTTTTGTATAGTGACAATCTATTTTGTATAGTGACAGTCTATTTTGTATATTTTTTGTATAGTGACAGTCTATTTAGTATATTTTTATATAGTGACAATCTATTTTGTATATATTTTGTATAGTGACAGTCTATTTAGTATATTTTTGTATAGTGACAGTGTATTTCGTATATATTTTATATAGTGACAATCTATTTTGTATATTTTTTGTATAGTGACAGTCTATTTTGTATATATTTTGTATAGTGACAGTCTATTTAATATATTTTTGTATAGTGACAGTCTATTTTGGATATATTTTGTATAGTGACAGTCTATTTTTATATACACTAACTATACAATATACATACATTTATTATACAATTTTAACCATGAGAATATTTTAGTCTTTGGGTCATTTTCGGTGAGCAAAAAAAAAAGAGAAAGAGATTTGTAGGTGTTGATAGTGATCTGCAATGGCTAAGGCCGCCGATGAGGAAGAGTTCTAGGTCCTTTTTATTTTTTTATGTTAGGTATTGATAGTGATATACTTTCCTTTGTTTTGGAGATTTAAAAGAAATAATATTTTCGGAACAAAAGCATTTAAAATTAAAAGACAAATTAATTCCAATTTAAAATAGAAAATTTATTTCATTTCCAGAATTAAAAAATATTTCCTTACCATCCTTGTTCCTAACACCCAAGTTCAAGTATAACCAACCCTAAACAGACTAGACCAAATACAAACTTTCTTTTATTCAAAACCCACATGGCCAAGATAAGAAACAACCATATCATGAGCCAAACCCAAAGAATTAAGCACAAAATACGTAGATTTATCATTAATCCCAATAAAATAAAATGACAGAGACCCATGAAAAACAAAGAAAGACTAGTTATTCAACTACCGAAATTGAAACAATACCTCAATAAAAAGAGGAGAAGAAGTGTCACGACCCAATTTTCCCTCCGTATGACGTCGTGACGACACCTAGTCTCTATGACTAGGTAAGCCTAACATTTTGCGGAATAAATGAAATAAAAATATAAATTTAACAACAAACTCCTCAATATACTACACAACATTTTCAAAATCCGGAACATCGTGAATCACAAACTACAGGAGGAAAACCTAGTGTCTCTATACATCAGAGTCTATCAAAAGAAAATACACAAGATAATGGATACGAGAAAGAGTAGAAAGGGACTCCGAGGTCTGCGGATGTGACAGATATACCTTGAAGTCTCCAAAGCTGTTCCGGCTCACTGATAGTGCGACTGATAAGGAGTACCTGGATCTGCACACGAAAAATATGTGCAGAAGAGTAGCATGAGTACACCACAATCGGTACCCAATAAGTGCCAAGTCTAACCTCGGTCGAGTAGTGACGAGTTCAGGTCAGGGCCCTATATATATATATATATATATATATATATATATANGCAAGTAGGCATGCTATTCTAGTCTAGCCGGATACCACACATGTTGATGAAACTTAAATAAGAAGGAAATCAAGTTACTACTTAGTAGAAAAATCGGGTTTTTACACAATTAGCCCGTGTACGTACTCATCACCTCACGTACACGACACTCATATATCAAAAACAGTACAAATCCTACCGGGAGTTTCCCCCATAAAGTTAGGCAAGTCACTTACCTCGAACCAAGCTTAATCAATCGGTAAGAATGCCTTTTTCACGAATATCCGACTCTGAATGGCTCGCATCTAGCCAAAATAATTCGACACAGTCAACAAAATTATAGGAATCAATTTCAAAAGAAAATACTACATTTTTAATAAAAGCCCGAAATTAACTCAAAAATAGTCTGTGGTCCACATCTCGGAATCCGGCAAAACTCACAAAATCCTATAACTCATTAAATTATGAGTCCAACCATACTAGTTTCACTGAAATCCGACTCTGAATCGACACCGAAATCTCAAAAATTTATTTCTATGATATTTCTAAATCTTTTCCAAATTTTCATCTCAATACACTAATTAAATGGTGAAAGCAATGATATATTCGTGTATATTGACCAAATCCGAGTTAGAATCACTTACCTAAATATTTTTCCTTGAAAATCTATCAAAAATGGCCTCTCTTCAAGCTCCAATTTATCAAAAATGGCACAAGGACGAAGTCCCCTGTTTTATAATTCTGTCTAGGCAGCCCTCGGTCCTGCGTCGATCCTGGCCCTCGATCAAGGCTTCGATTATGGCCCTCGATCCTGGGCCTCGATTCTGGGTTCGATCCTGGCCCTCGATCCTGGCCTTCGATCATGGCCCTCGATCCTGGCCCTCGACCTTGGCCTTCGATCCTGGCCCTCGACCCTGGGCTTATACCCTGGGCTCGACTTCTGGGCTTCGATCCTGGGATCGATTTTCTGGGCTTGATTTATGTATTTCTAGCAGAATAAATTGCAGCAGCTTTTGCAGCAACTATTTAAGTCCAATTTTTGATCAGTTAACCATCCGAAACTCACCCGAGGCCCTCGGGACCTCAAGCAAAAATACCAACAAGTTCTAAAATATTATATGAACTTATTTGAAACCTCAAATCACATCAAACAAGGCTAAAATTATAATTCACACCCCAATTCAAGCTTAATGAAACTTAAGAATTTCCAACTTCTACATTCGATGTCGAAACATATCAAATCAAGTCCGATTGACCTCAAATTTTGCACACAAGTCATAAATGACATAACAGAGCTATAAAAATTTTCAGGACTAGATTCCGACCCCGATATCAAAAGGTCAACTCCCCGGTCAAACTTCCAAACTTAAATTCTTATTTTAGCCATTTCAAGCCTATTTTAACTATAGACTTCCAAATAAAATTCCGAACACGCCCCTAAGTCCAAAATCACTATACAGAGCTGTTGAAATCATCAAAATTCTATTCTGAGGTCGTTTGTACATAAGTCGATATCTGGTCACTATTTGAACTTAAGCTTTAAAACTTGGAACTAAGTGTTCCAATTCATTCCAATATATCGTCGGACCTGAACCGACTACCCCGACAAGTTACATAACAGTTATAAAGCACAGAATGAGCAGTAAATAGGGGAGTGGGGCTATAACTTTTTAAAATAACTGGCCAGGTCGTTATATCCTCCCCCTCTTAAAACAATCGTTCATCCTCGAATGAGCATAAAGACATACCTGAAGTGGTGAAAAGATGAGGATAACGGTTGTGCATATCCTGCTCGGTCTCTCAAGTCTCCTCCTCGACTGGATGACCCCTTCACAGAGGCAATGTCCTTTGACATCAAATTTCGAACCTGCCTATCCAAAATAGCCATTGGTTCCTTAACATAATATAGATCCTTGTCCAACTGAACTGAACTGAAGTGTAACACATGAGACAGATCACCGTAATACTTCCAGAGCATGAAAACATGGAACACTGGATGAACTGCAGAGAGACTAGGTGGTAGTGCAAGTTTGTAAGCCACCTTCCCAACTCTCTCAAGAATCTCAAATGGCCAAATATACCTAGGGCTCAACTTGCCCTTCTTCCCGAACCTCATAACACCTTTCATAGGCAAAACCTGGAGCCAGACCCGCTCACCAACCATGAATGCAACATCACGAACCTTCCGATCCGCATAACTCTTCTGTCTAAACTGGGCTGTGCGAAGTCTATCCTGAATCACTTTAACGTTTTCCAAGGCATCCTGAACCAAGTCTGTACCCAATAATCTAGCCTCGCCCGGCTTAAACCATCCCACTGGAGACCGATACCGCCTACCATACAAAGCCTCATACGGTGCCATCTGAATGCTGGACTGATAACTATTATTGTAAGCAAACTACGCAAGTGGCAAGAACTGGTCCCAAGCACCACCAAAATCTATCACACACGCACAGAGCATATACTCTAATACCTGAATAGTTCGCTTGGACTTCCCGTCCGTCTGAGGGTGAAATGCTGTGCTCAACTCAACCCGAGTACCCAACTCATGTTGTACAGCTCTCCAAAACTATGATATAAACTGTGTACCCCTGTCAGAGATGATAGATACTAGTATGCCATGAATCCTGACGATCTCACAGATGTAGATTCAAACTAGCTACTCGAGAGAATAGGTAGTCATCAGAGGAATGAAATGAGTCGACTTGGTCAGCCTATCCACAATCAGCCAAACTGCATCAAACCTCCGCTGAGTCCGTGGGAGCCCAATAATAAATCCATAGTGATTCGCTCCCATTTCCACTCCGGAATCTCCAACTTCCGAATCAACCCGCCCGATCGCTGATGCTCATACTTCACCTGCTGGCTATTTAGGCACCGAGCAACA